ATATATATGTATGTATACACACACACACACACATACACACTGACTGGCCACTTTGGTAGGTACATCTCCTTGTTTCTGTAGCATTTTAGCACTTTAGTGACGCTGAGCTGAATGTGGTGGTGTGTTAGTGTGTGTTGCGCTGGTACAGCTGGATCAGACACAGCAGGGATGCTGGAGTTTTTAAACACTTGTCACTGCTGAACAGAGAATAGTCTGCCAACCAAAAATATCCACCAACAGCATCCTGTGGGCAGCGTTCTGTGACCATTGATGCAGGACTAGAGGCGCACTATCATCTCTAACTTTACATCTACAAGGTGGACCAACAAGGTAGGAGTGTCTAATAGAGTGGGCAGTAAGTAAACACAGTGTTTAAAAACTCCAGCAGCACTGCTGTGTCTAAACCACTCAAACCAGCACAACACACACTAACACACCACCACCACGTCAATGTCACTGCAGTGATGAGAATCATCCACCACCCAAATTATACCTGCTTTGTGGCGGGCCTGACCATTGAAGAACAGGGTGATAGAGGGCTAACAGATAGACTACAGTCTGTAATTGTAGAACAACAAGGTGCATCTAGATAGTAAGTGATAAAATGGACAAAGAGTGTAGATACAAGGATTTCATGAAGTACATGTATTTCAAGAAGTGATCGGTCGGTGCGTATAATTAGAAAGCACAGGAACTTCACAGAAAACATTGTCAGCTGTCAAGTTTATTTACAGTCAGAATGGTCAAAAGCTGATTTAATTATTTGATTTTATAACATTTTATAGCTTTTAAGCATTTTTTTTGTTTGTTTCTGCACAACAGGTAAACTACACTTCTCCATTGGTGGCTGTGCGCTTTCCTAATCTCCAGCTTGACACTCATCTACATGTTCAATGTAAGCTAAACGGCAAGGGCATCATCAATGATTCACCTACTGACCGCTTCCTCGGTAGCGTGTCCTTCTCTCTAGAAGTGGGAGCATAGTGCTAGAGTAGGCCTGCAAAGGAACTAAACTTAAACTTCTCAGTGTACATTATGGTTAAAATAGTCCACTGTACTTTCATTGCCCATGTTCTCCTGCCTCTGTGCCTTCCACTTGAACTTAATGCAGCGTTATTGCATGCAGCGTACTCGCCCACACTCGGAATGCTCCAGTAGGCTAGTGTAGGTTCAACTTAAGAGCAGTGAATACTGCCGTTACAGAATATAATAGTAAAAAGATTAATTTCATTTCATCCTGTGTTAATATTTTCTAGGTTAGACAATAATCAAATGTAAACAAATGTAGTTTTTTTGAGACAAACTTGTTCAAATGCAAATTTATACACTGTACAGTATGGAGAGTTGATCTATGGCATCAGTTTACTATAGAGAATTAACTTGTAAGTCTCTACTTTCAGTCAGATGGTACATTTATGTAGCTGAATATATGTAACTTTAAATGACGAACAGTAGGATTTCTATTTTGGGTTTTACGTGACGGTGACTCCTTTTTGCTTCTTTTGTACAAATCTAAAATCTGTCAGGCCATACAAGGGGTGATTTTGTTTAACAGATTAAATTGCTCACTTTTAGAAATAAATAAATCAAAGAAGAAGCAAAAGCGAAAACAGATGTATGTGAATTACTTTTACCAATATATGGGTGCAATGAATTAGCTGGAAAAAGCCCAGTAAGGCCAGTTGGATTTACCAAAAGAAATATTTCACTCATTTAATATATAGTAATATTTCTAATACTGATATATGCCAAGATAAGTGAATAAGTATAGTGCTTATATATTAATATGTATAGTGTTAATATATATGAATATTCCAAGCCTACATTTCGGTGTATGAAGCACCTAAGAACTTGAGATAAAAGTGTAAGAAATGTCATTTGTGCAGCTGTTCATTGGAAATATTTAGTGCCAGTTTAACCTTTACAGAATTTTAACTGAATTTCTGTAAAAATTTCTGATAGCGTCACCAGATCAGATACGTAAACGCAAAATCTGTTAAACAATTATTTGGATTTGAATGGCCTTAATTTGTGAAAAAATAATCCCAGTAAAAGCAGACTGTCATACATTAAACCTTCTATCACAGTGCTTGTTCTTTTTTATAACAATCTGTTGTGTTTTAGAATTGATTTCTTTGTACTACATAAAGAACTAAATTGATTTATGTTTATTAGTACCACTAATTTTTTTTTTTTGTTCAGAGACAAATGTATTTTTCCAGAGACAAATGTATGAATTGTGGTTCTTTTCATGATCTTATCAGTTATATTATAAAATTTATTTTCTTGAAGTGAAACATAACCTGACCTCTCAAGCAGATAGTGAACATTTTACACGCACAAACACGATCCCATACCCAGAATTATATGCAGTTCAGTATCATTATAGGGTGGGAAAAAAAACATTGTGCCTGCTTGGTTCTCTGTAAGAAGGACTTCAACAGTATTATTTATTAATTGTGTTTGCGTAATTGACATGGTACAATCAGTTATCAAGTGTGATGGCTAGATGGAAATCAGAAACTGCATGTTGGCGGTTCAGTGAATGCGGTGAACCATCAAACAGCAGACAAGCGTGCCGGCTCATGTTTTTAAGAAGCACTCCTAATGTTCTAGACATAATAAAGATGGAACAGAATTAACTAAATGAAACGTTTCTGTTTGATTGATTCTGTATGTTGGAGACAGGAGCTCTACAAATGTTAACGGGTCTATAGTGCTTCATCATCACAGCCGCAGAATGAATACATGGTGACTCATACATGGTATAGTTTTCTCTCTTTGCTCCAACAGTCTGGTGTGTTTTCTGCATCCCATGACATCAGAGGAGAAGTTTTACATTTTTTTTATTAATCCAACAGATCAGGAGAATATAAGCATGATTCAAGTCCATTTACCTTTACTGATCTCATGATCTGTGACTATATGAGTCATGTGCTGTACGAAAACACTACAGCTGTTTACTGCAGTGAGGAGAACCACGTTGGGGTTGTTATCTGGATAGAGTGGCGTACTGTGTCCCAGATATCACCAGGGTTTAAAAACATATTTTAAATACAAATTATGCCTTTGTATGGAAGCCCATTTGTGCCAGGTAAAGGAGAAAAAATTGTTGGTGGCTTTTGTTTCCGGCAGCAATATGCCAAAATATTTATTTAGTATCTATCTCGTACATAGTGACTAATGTCCTGAAATGCTGAATTAAAATCTAGAAATCATTTCTTACTTTAATTTTGTGTTAGTATCTTGAAATAGTGATGTATTTTCTTAAATATTGCCATGGCATCTTAAAGAATTACTTATCTTCTTGAAATATTGACTGATTAGGTCAAAAAACATATGTTCTCAAAAATGTTGCCTTATTATTTTGAAATAATGACTTATTTTCTCAAAATATTAATTTACTATATACAAGTAATGACTTATGATGTCAATATAATGACTCGGTATCTTGTAATAATGGTAATGATAATACTGATATCTTGTAATATTGTTTTTCTATCCCAAAAATAATTACTTCCTTGAAATATTAACGTCACTAGTTCAACAATGCATCTCTAAATCTAAAGAACATAAGTAATTATTTCCAAATATTGTCAATACTTCAAGAAAATGTAATTATTGTAACTTAAGTCAATATTTTGAGAAGATATGTATTTGTTTCAAGTAAATATTGTAATGCAAATAATGTTTTTTTTAAAATACTAAGTATAAATTTCAAGAATTTTTTCAAGAAGGAGAAAAAAACTGCCAACTGCTGGGAATAGGTTTCAAAAATATTTAGATAAAGCTTATTAACACATAAATGCATTACACATATTAATTGTTTATTGTTATTATTTTTAAATTCTTTGTGGTGATATGTCTAATCTCAGTATGCGAAATAGACTTGCAACAAAATTAAATCATTAGTTAAGTCATTTATTGCAGAAGAGTCAAATCCATTAAATTGTTAGAAACAGTCTTCTTGTTTCATAACACATAATTAGACTTTCAGAAATATTGTAATAAATTATATTTTTATTAAAAGCATTTTTGTCCCAAAATGTTTTAGTCACTGCTGTGTTATCTGATGTATTGGCTTATTTGAGTACTTGGAGGAGAATCATTTCTTAATGCAGTTTCCAAAATTTTCTCAAATGTATCTGTTATTTTGCCCAACACTGCAGTAATGTCTGTCTGTCACTGGTGACACTTCTTAAAAACCTAGTTTCCTATGTTTCTTCATAATAGTTGCAAAAATAATTGTAATTATTAATTCATTTATGATTCAGCAATGTTACATTTCCTGCATGTGTCAGCCATTTGGAGATAATTCTTCATTTTTATCCTGTCACTGGTGTCAAAGTAACAGTCACTGCTTTATGTTAATAACCCCAGTAACATGGTGGTAAACCAGGGACAGGCATTCACATTTGATTAACTCTATTAACCAAGCTGCACAATGAATTCAGGAGTCTAATATGCACACCAGTTTATGTGGACATTTCTGATGAATATTTGATAATTTAATAGTGTCCCTGTTTTGGCTAAAAGGTTTCCAAAAAACTAGTCGTACTGTCACTGGTGTTACCATTCTCTTTTGGTGATATACAGTGTCACTGGAGTAACAGTTCTGGGTTGTTGTTACACAGTGTGAGTGGTTCTGCAGTTCTGTGTTGGTGTCACAGTTCTGTATTTTCATGTATTGTAGATTTTTTTTTTTTTAATCAAAGTGTAGATGAAAGATGTCAAAAACAAATTTCATTTTTGAGAAAGTAGTATTTAATGTGACACCAGTCGCACAAATACTAGAACCGTTTTTTTCCAATATCTAATAACTCAAACTGTTTAAAAATAATAAAAAATAACAAGATACTGAAATATCATCCATTTTAAAAATGTATTTTTGTTTTATTTTTCCTTTCCAAACACCACCCTGTCCAGATAATGATCCCTTTACTGTCACACTGACCTGCATTTAACAGAGACTGTGAAACAAAACACACCACAGACTGCAATACAAAAACAGCCATTTTATTGAAATTTCTTACTCATTGAAACAAACATAACATGACCCATCATTCTTCCACTGACTGGAGCAGGTCTATAGTGAAGGGACAGGGAAGTGCAACAAAAAGGCACACTGTATTTAAGGGCTGACAGTATTCTGGTGTTCATATGATTTTTGGTACTGCTTCTATACTGAAAAGAACTCAAACCCAAGTCACAGTAACTTTGCTCTAACCATTACACACTGTACGCCAGTCAAACGGCCCATAAGACCTAAGTATTCTGACTTGCTATAAATGTATACTGCTCACAAATTCAGCTTTGCAACTGACCCACTTTACAACACTTCCTGCCTTTCCCTGAGAGGGGACCTAATGACCTGGGGCGGGGGTGGTTGGTGCAGGGGGGAGCAAAAAACAGAAAAATCATATTCATTACATCCATCCATCTCAAATGCTGGTAAAGTGTCACTGCAAACTTTAGTGTCCCTTTGTACAACATGATAAGTGCAATAGGTACTATGACACTTATGACCTCATTTTACTATTGACAGGCACTGAAAAATGTGCCAGGATGTGGGTTTTTTTTTTTTGGTTTGTTTTTTTTTGTTTCTTTCTAATTTCAACGACAAAGTGATCCACCTATGAGTAAGTTCAGAACTAAAATGACATATACATTCAAGGGTTAATAAAGTAGAGCAACAAAGTTTCTAATTCTAAAAGTTAACCATTCATACATTCAATCACATGGATAATCACGTAACACAATCATGTAGAGCCTTGTAGAGCCCTGAACTTTTTTTTTTTTTCCGGCGAGGATTAAAAATAGATAACGTTTAAAAAGAGCTATTAATTAAGATCATGCATTTTAACATTTAGTGCAATGCCAGTGATTATTTGAACAGCTGCTGAGTTTTACTCTAATTGACTGAGTCAGCACCGCTGAAACGGCCTGGCAACGCCACCTTATCTGGACAGGAAGAACTGTCAGCAGAACTCATACATAATTTAATACAGGCAGCAAACAAACCAGAAACTGGAATTTCACAGAAGCAGTAACTGTTTGCAGGATATACAGGTTGAGTAGTTTGTAGTGTATGAGGAATGCCATGCTACCTTTTCATCCACCGTTTTGATATCAGAAATTCAATTTCAACCAGTTAAAATGCTAATGGAGAAATTCATTTCTTACAATAGACAGTTTAAGAACATTTTATATAATTCATTTCAAAGTGAACTAGGAAAAGTATGGAAGCCTATTCCTGCCAGGTAGAAAACAATCACCTGTCTCTTGAAACAATCACTTATTTTCTCAAAACTTTGACTTTGTATCTCACATTTGACTTAATTTCTCAAAATATTATCTTGAACATTTTTCCAAGATTTTGTATTAGGAGAACAATGAGTTATTACATTTTTAAGAAAGTAATTATTTCAACACAGTACATCAAACATAAGAGAAAATCATTACTTGAGATATTAAGTCATTTTCTGAAAATGTTGTCTGTCAGACCAAGTCGTTATTTTTGAGACACCAAGTAATTGTTTTGACCTCTCTAAATATTTACCTACTAAGTTTTTACAAGCAACATTCCCCCCCTCCTTCTACTTTTCTATGGAAATGTGCTTCAAGAGACAAGCCATGAGTTCTTAGTGAGAACTCAGATCTTGCATGCTAAAGTAATTCCAAATCTGATTTTATTTAGTGCTAGTAGCAGTTTGCACTTGTTCAAATTGAATCTGAAGAAGTAGATTTAGATTAAAAGCTAAAATGGCCTCCCATAGGTTGATGTGTGTAAGAAAGAAAAAAAAACAGTAATAAAGGACAGAGTGGGGGAAAAAGGAAAGAAGGGGAAAAAGAGTAGAGTATGAGACAAGCTTAGAGGAGAGCGTTGAAAACGGCTCGAGCCTGCTTATACAGACTGGTAACCAGTGCGGCTCTTCCGCCGCCCGATCAGGTAAGAGATAAGCACGAGGATGATTAGGAAGCCAAGAGCCACACCCACAGCGATTGGCACGAGAAAGCTTAAATCAGCATCCAGAAAGCACTCCTCCGCTGCCGGGGGAAGAAGAGAGAAACAGTTACGAGTGATGAGTGTTCAGGGAAAGGAGACAGTTACGCAAGATGTAAAAGGAGGGCTGGTGTAAGTGAACTTCTGAGAAAACTTTCTGTAGAGCTCTGGAAAGACACGGTCGGAGAGTAAAGGAACTGTTAAAGGTTAATTCTGTTAAACCAGAATGTAACGCACCTGACTGCACTTGGATGCCACACATCAGAATGAGCTTATAACATTAAACCTGTTCACAAGCCACGACAAATGAATCACAGACTAAAAAGGCAGAAGAAAGAAAATTATAACCAGAAAGCACCAACATACTGACATACTTTAAACATATTACACACTGAATTTGGAGGTGAAATCAAACAAAATCAAGTCTAGTAATCAAAAAACAAATTCAAACTTTAACTGAATTGTTCATAGCCAACACTTCTTCTCCTTCCAATAAAGTAGGCCAGTATGACAATAAGTATGAGAACAATGAGAGCAACTCCAACTGCTATGGGTACGATGAAGCTGTCTGGCTCGTCAGCACGGCAATCCTCAGCTGAGAAAGAGATGCATGTGTGAGAAAAAGGTAAAAGAGGAACCAGCATGAACAAAACTCAGTCAAAACTTCACTTAGATTTAAGAACACTGTACTCTATTAAAAAGACAAGAATGAGCTGAGTTTAAAGGGCCAATATCATGGAAAAAAACAATTTCTTGCTTTTCTGGGGAGGAAAAGTTTGCATGCTACATCAAAACTCTATCAAAAGTTTAAAGACGTACAATTCACTCCCCAGGCCATAGAGTCAATATAAGGACCAGAACTGTTTAAGCAGCTTGTTGTGAATTAGCTGTATTTCCCCCTGATATTATGAAAACCATTGCATTTACATATACCTTCCTATCCAGCCTATAGTAGTTTAGCTCCACCTATTTAGACTGAAGCTATAAGGAGCGTTTCAGTCTGGACTGTTTTTTGGAATGAGGAACAAAGCAAAGCCAGATCAAAACAGCCAATATCATTTACATATTAGCCTTAAAGACAGAGCAACAAAAACAGCCTGTCCAATTCTAGTGGATCAAGGGATATGTAAATGTAGGATATGGGCCCTTTAATATGCACATAGCTGCACTGCCACAAGCCTGTAATATTTAATAGAGGAGAGGGGGAAAAAATAAAAATCAAACAGAGTCATTAATGACAATGATGTGCCAGAATTTATTAAACAAAGATTGTCACGATTCAGAATTCCCTTTTCAAGTTACATGTCTTAAAATTAGCAAGAAGGAAATCTGACAAGGCACGAATTTGCCATCAATCGGTCTCAGACAACTTCCTCCAAACTGATCAGAGGGCAACAATTGTAGTGAAAGTCACATTTTGATTTTTTTTTCCTTTCATATGTGTTAAAGTCAAGCAGTTTACAGATTGGAGAGCGAAGAGAAATCAAAATGGCATTGGGTGAGGGTCAGAACAGACTGAATGATCAATATCAATGCAATCAAATTTGAAAAAGCCAGAGCAGAGTGTATGTAGTAAGAAAAAACAAACATTACATGAACAAGCATTCAAAAGGTATCCATGTTCACTGTTCCTAACACTGTACACTACAGAGATTCATAAGTGCAAAGCTTTAAAGTAGTGCTTTATCAAACTAAAGCTCTATTCAACCCAAACTAAAACCATGTCTTATGGTTTTGCAAAACCAGCTCATGACAAGAGGGAAACACAGGCTATTGAATTCATTAGGTTATCAATGCACTGGTACTGATATTGAAACTTCCGAGTGTGAGAGAAGCTTACTGATCAAAGTATTAGGAATTTTCTTTGGCATTGAGGCAGTTCTCATCTTTATATATTCCTTATATGCCTGGCAAACTAAAGCAAATGTAGCCTATTGGTAGTGGCCACGATGTCCATAAAATCTTTCCACACTCCCTACACACAATCTTTCTTGAAAAATGAACAGTGTTCCAAACACGTAAACCCAAAAGATACAGAAACCTCTTCAGCTCTGCTTTGGACCATGTTTATACAAAGACTACAGCTAAAATCTGATATGCATGGATAGTCTGTCTAGACACAGCCAGGGAGCGAAGAACATCCAATTGAAATTTAAAGGTTGATGTACAAGTGTGGTCTTACTAAAAGCAATGAAACACACAACATTCCCGTCATGCTATATTATACTATGACTGCTATTCTCACAGTAAATGGAAATTGAGGACAGTGTCCTGTGTCTCCAGTTGAGCTACACATGCTATAGAGCTTTAGGTTGCGCAAAGCACTGCTTTAAGAACTGATCCTGCAGCAAAGGCAATTCACAGGTGCAATAAGCAGCATGTATCACACACACATTTTTTTTTCTTTAAGAACAGAATCAATTCAAAGTTATTTACAAAGAGCAGTACACATGAAAGTAGGTGTCCATTAAAAAGAGGAGTAATCCCTTTTTGAAACTTTGAAACATTTTCCTAAATGGTAATTGCTATAGAGAAAACCCACAACTATGTCAATATATATATATAGTAGCTGTTTCTTTGAACAAGACTTAAACAGCATGAAAGTTGTTAGTTTGTTGGCTACAGCTAAAGCCTGAGTTCACTACAGCTAAAGCCTAAAGCAGAAATGGGTTTAGATCTTATGTTTCTTTTTTGTAGGGGGGGGTGGGGGTTGGGAAACAAAACAACAGACATGGCATAATTAGTCAGTGAATTAAACAATAAAAAGGACTGGGTGACTTCAGGAGCAAGTGCAAGGTTTAATAATGAAGAAAAAAAAAAATCAAAACATCCTGTAAATCAGTGCACTGATCCCTATAACTTAGACAAACAGGGCAAAGTGTTGGGACAGATGTCTAATATTAGAGGGTTTCAAATGGTGAAACAAAAAACCATTCACTTGCTCCTAAAGAAAGTAATGAACAAAACCTACAAATGAAATTAGTGAGAGAAGAATTTTACAGAGGACCATAGTCCTGGACCACTGCAGAGTCTTTGTACTTTGTACTGCATAGAAGCCAAAAAGCAGACATTAGTCATTCACAACTCAAACCTAAACTCTGACCTGAAATTACCATTGAGAAGAGCTGCAGCGGTCCAGGATCGTATGCAATTAAGTGACCTACTGACAATTTGTGAATTTGGAATTGTGATTTAAGGATGTCATTACAGGGTCTGATATCCAACATAGGTCTTTCGTCGACCAATCATGTATGCAATCACTACAATGAGAATCAAGCCAGCCAGAGCGGCACCAACAATGATTGGGATTAAGAGGCTGGTGTCATCCACTGAACATTCATGGGCTGCAGGCAGAGAGAACATGTATTAACACAAAATGAGGTAGTCATATCACATTAACATACAGCAGGAGACAGTGATTACGATCAGAACTTGAGATTCACAACAAGCACACAACACAAAAAACCTGACTGCTATGGATTACTTTTGCATTATAGAGAAATTTAAACTTGCTTAGGACATACCTGTGCTGAATTTGTTGTCAGTGACTCCAAAGGGCTGCACCTGAAGCTCAAACGTATTTAAAATAAGGCTGTCTGTGAGGTTGTAGGTCTGTTCCTTTCTGCACATGTATGAGCTACCCAGCGAAGCCTCCCACAGAGACAGGTTACTGGTTGCAGTATTAAAGACACTCCCTGCAACCAAACCAGATTTACAAGAAATTCATTAAAAAGGTCACCATAAGAATCAAGGCCAATCACATGTATTAAAGTAAAGAAAAATTCTTACCATTTCCATTAACCAGAGTGAATTTCAGAGCACTCAAGTGGAATTTGTTTGTCTGCTATAAGAGGTCACAAAAATACAAGCATAAGGTTTACAAATGTGACGCCTGCATCTGCTTCAAAAAAAAAAAAATAAAAGGGTGGGTTTAAGATGGGCTAGGTTTAGGCCAAATCCAGAAACTATTATCAATTTTCAACAGAAGTGTTCTTGTTAACAATTTGACAAACTTGTATAGACTCTGAATGTACCATGTAGGACTTGGGAAACTAGAAACTGCAAAGTATACCCTGCAGTCTTCAAAGACCTAACTATACACACACACAGCTAGCAGGTAAAAATATACAAGAGTTATTCTTGCATTATAGGTGACCCACCAGCCAATGCACTGCAATGTTTCCTTTTACTTACTTGTGGCAACAGTACTGTAAACTTGTGTGTGTTTCACTCCGTGGTGAACAGTAATGGAGTAAATGTAATTCATTACTGTACTTAAGTGTTTTTTTTGTGTATCTGTACATCTATATTTCCATTTTGGGCGACTTTACTTTCACGCCACTATATTTCAAAGTCGAATTTCTTACTTTTAACTCCACTACCATATGCAAAATCTGTCGTTCCTTTTGGCTTGTGTGTATAAAAACGTAACGTCAAGACGAAAGAAACGTGAAGCAAGCACACCAATCAGGGTACAGCGCGCACTTAGTTTTGAGCTTGTTGGACATACGCACCCAGTGCAAGCATATGGTTCAACGTCAGTGCAGCAGCGTAAAATTTTGGGAGTGCCTATGCCAACATAAATGATGGAACTAACCTAACTTTGTGTAAATAGACCACAATACAGAAATATGTACACATAAGCAGTTGTGACTGGCATGTGTTTTTTTCCTGAATTTATACAAACACTTTTACACAATTTATAGTAAATTTGTTTTTGCTAGAGACCTACAGATGCAATATCGTAAAGGAAAACACATTTGTGAACCTGTGTTTAAAGCAAGTTTTTATTAAACTTAAACTTGTAACTAAGTAGCAAATAAATCTTAACTTTTTGCAAACAAGCAAAGTTTCAGTTTATTTCATAACCACTTGATTCTACCTAATGGAGACTGCCTTCAGTGTTTTGTGCTTCTGATAATTTTAATAGACATCAGTGACAGACTAATTAATGACATTCTATTAAAAGATTTGGTTTACCAGGAGTGACACTCGAGTATTTTCACCTAAAATGAGTTAATGAAGCAAGAGTCTTGTTGCAAAAACGGTAATAGGACATTAATCATAATCTTTTAGTACTTTTACTTTTGATATTTAAGTACATTTGATGGCAAATACTTTTGTAATTTTACTCAAGTGGATTTCTAAAGGGAGGACTTCTACATTTACTGGAGTAATATTTTACCTTGGGTATCTCTATTTTAACTCAAGTACATGATTTGTGTACTTCATCCATATCTACTATAGGTTTAATACTTACATTGGAAAACACAAAGTGGACTGTGATTGTGTCTGACATCAGAGTGAGCGTGGAGTCAGTGCCATTGCTTCCACACGATCCATTGGTATTCGTTACATTTGGGTCAAGGTTAACTGTCTGAAAGCTAGTTTCCTGAGTGCAAAAAAAGAAAAAGAAATGCAGACATTAAATATAAACTTATTTCACAAGACTATGGTAAAAGACTGAAGATAATTATTCTATTTTCAAAATAAAAATTTAGAGGTGCCAAAAGTAGCATTCCAGAGTAGGTAAACTTTTGCACATACTGGCTTGAATCGGAACTGCAAACCCATCTTTGCCTTAAGACAGACAGAAGAATTAGGATCAGCCTTGACAATGTAATCTCCAACCAGGGGGTTGGGTGGTGGAGTAGGAGTGGTAGGGACAGGGGTGGTAGGGACAGAGGCTGTTGTGGTATTGGTTGTAATAACTGTTGTGGCGTTGGCAGGCTCAGTAGTTGGAGCAGCAGTTGTAACATTGGAAGAGTGAGTAGTTGGGGCTTCTGTTGTACTATTGGTCTGATGAGTGGTTGGAGCAACAGTTGTAGCATTGGTTGAGTGATTAGTTGGGTCTTCTGTTATTGCAGTGGTGTCCAGAGAGGGCTTGGAAGTTGTTGCACTAGTGAGCTCGGTGGCAGCTGCAGAGTCCATTATGGTACTGGCAAAGCCTGGTGTAGTAGGAGTGACCATAGGGGCATCAGTTTCCTCCATAGTTGGAGGACTGGTGGGAAGGGTGTAGCCCTCTGGAGGTGACGACAGGAGCACATCAGCATGCAGAACACCTACGAAAGGATACTTTAATTAAAAACCCAGGTTTAGAGAATAAAAGCATCAACGTACAGTGAAACAATGACAATGATACACAAGCAATGCACTCCTCAAATGTGATAATACAGTAATGTGAGACGGTCATTCACTGACATCTCATTTAAATCAAGCTGAAACTAACGCAACAAAGCGTAGGTAGAGATCCAGCTTACTTTAGAATCTGCTTGTGAACACTCAACACATAGTATGCACTATCAATCACAAAAGCTTGGCTCCAATGTGCCAACAAGGGATTGCAAGAGGATATCAGAATCACATCAAGGTCAAAACCATAACCGCTTTTAAAACTAAAAACACAGCCTTGGGCAGATGTTTAGATTTGGCCGATATGTCAAACCAATAACACTGTACTTATAAATTATTGTACTCTGGAAATAGAGAACATTTAGGTGATGCTGGTCTGAGCCAAAACATCTGCATTTTATTCATTTTAATGCATTTGCAACCCTCTACAAATGAAAAGGTACACATACATACATACATATACATAAACATATATATACATACACATTCACGCTGGTGAAAATGGAACAGCCCTACTAGTCCATGAAACAGCAAGTGCCCACATGTATGCAATATTTAATTAGCCAACTGATAAGCCATTCTTTTAAACACCTAAGCAACTCATCCCATCCCTCATCAATTTACATCTTTGGAAATAAGAAAAGGAAAGTGAGGATGACCATTTCATCCAAACTGAAACAGATCCTTGGGTGGGAAGCTGCATCAAGGTGTGGGAGCTGAAAGAGAGGATCTAGACCAGACAACAAAAACACAGAACAGTACTGATTTAGGCTGTGCTTCTGTACCTGGCTGCCAATTCTGCATCATTCATTTCTTGATAAAATACTGAAAACATGGTCCAAAGCAGGTGTTTACATTTAGTGGCTGCCGGAATAGATGCAATAGGATTTTCTTCAATGCGTGGTTCACACTAACGCCCCTCACTCATGTCTCAAATATCTAGGCACTAACGTTCGGTCTGAGCCTTGCACTAAAGCTAGTTCACATAATGATTAGCTTGAGACATCTTACAAAAGGCATCTATCACATGGCTTCAAGTAAGGATGGCAGACAAAGGTAACTTACAGTCCAGTCACATGCTCATGTGACGATAACCTGGGATAAGCACAGCTCGTAAACTTACTTGAATGTACGTCAGCAGTTAAACACCTTTGCTATCCTGCTTGAGCTAACGTACCTGATTTTTATTGCACAAAAAACGCACATTCATGCATCATATTCCAAAACAAAAGTGCTTAACTGGCGATTCTAAATCACGCCGAAGGTGATCCAGATATGAATCAGCTCGTTTGAAAGTTCAGGCTTTCACACGCATTTCAGTTTCCAGGGAGGCTCGCAGCCTAACGACACTTACATAACGGAGCTTATTTGTTGCGCTGCTTCCATTTCAGGCTACAAAGCTTAGCTGGCGAAACAAAACCTACGAAACGTACACTATGCAAGAAGCGGCCATCAGTATTGACAGATATTTAACCAACCAGAATCAACCCGAACGCAAATGCGTTAGCTGCAAATTCAGCTAGCACAATCATTGTGAGCAAAGACAGTTATATGGGAACGCTTCAGGCAAAATATGACTCTCACTGTTCACCGAAATAGCCATTTAAGGCTCTACCGACATTTACCGAAGCATAAAATTAGCTAGCACTGCCGTAGCAGTTGAAAATGACAGCAAGCCGCCGAGCTACCTGCTTTGCTAAGCTAGCTACGTATACAACTGGTAAGGTAACGTTAAACCAGCTAATAGCATTAGCTTAGCCAGCTCGGGCCTAAAACGCCGGAAAATAAAGTTGTAAAAACGAAGTCCTTTCCAAGTAAAACGCTCCTGCTACGGCATACTCACCACTTAGAAGAACAAAAAGCAACGGCAGGGAAAGACCGCGAAACATGCTGACGACAACTTCACCACACAGCTCCCAGGTGCCCGAGACTCTGTTATGTCCGAGAGTTGAGTTGTAAGCGATCTGGCTGAACCGCTGAGGACGCTATAAGACGAGGGAGGCCAGCTGATAGGAAGTCATATGACAAACAAGTGGCAGGCAGGGTTGCCATATATGTTTTAAATCACTCTTAAAGAGTACAGTACGAAAAGCCGTTCTAGTTTTTTCTTGAAATGAACATGAATTAGTACAATGTTATATATATATATATATATATATATATATATATATATATATATATATATATATATATATAAAATGTACCATACATTTTGTATGGTACATAATCATCTCTGGTTTAACAAATCAGTTTTACACAATGGAGAACTGATCAATCTGATTTACAGTCAACACAATATATTTAAAAGGCTAAGTATGTGTCTACCTCTATTTTATTCACATTGTATATTTACCTGTCACGTGTACAATGTGCAACTCTGAATACATCTACAGAACATACTTTTTGTCCGTATTAGCTTCTGAATAAATAAGAAATTTCTGAAAATAGAATATTTTTGTGCACTTCAAAAAGGCCAGGTAACAAAACAAACTTCTTTCAGGAGGACTTTAGCTAATGAAGTGACTCAGGTGCAGGAAAACATCAGGGGCTGCAGAAGTGCAGTTAGGTTTAGAGCTCCACGTGCTAAAGCTACAGGGCTTGTTAACATGCTGCTAACATTAAGTGTTATTTCAGGGGGGAAAAAATTAATAATTAAATAAAAATATGCTGCTGGATTCCAGGGCTGCAAATGGGGGAAATGGTTAGGAAATTGGTGGGAAGTGAGGAGTTGCTCCATTAGTAGGGATTTATTAGAGGCATCTGGCAACCTCTGCCGGAGCGCTTACAAATGCATATCTGATGGTAAAATTTTACTTGATTGTAAATCTGTTCATTGGAACCCACATTGTTATGAACTACAACCAGCCACAGAGCTCCACTGGCTAAAATGTCTGGCCTTAATACTTTTGTCTTCTATCAAAAAGAACAGAATTTACAAATTATATTAGAAAAGAACGACTGAAACAGTGGAGTTCTTGTATCTAATGATGATGCCTTATGTGAAGTGAGAGAATGTCCCAAATAGAAGCTTATTATTTTATTAAAGCAAAACACCTGCATGCCTTAAAATGTCATATGCAATTTGATTGATTGACTTTACTGCAGACCAAACGATAGTAGAACAGAAAAATCTTGACATGACTCACCATCTTAGCATGCACAAGGTCATTTTGATTTTAAGTTGCTTTCAAATGGTTAGCACAATTTCTTCTTTTTCCACCTGAAATGTCTATAGAAATACACTACCTGTAGGCCTTCCTGTTAAGCCCCATGACATGTGAGACATCTGATTAATGTTTTTTATTTGTTATTTTGTTAATTATTCTATTAAGGTTAACACTATAAAATTAAAATATTTTTTTATTGTTTGCTTTAAAAAATGTGCAGTTCATAGCTCTGTGTATTTATTAAGACACAATCAATTTCTGAATTGTATTAATTTTCTTTTTCCTTTTTTTCTGAGCTGCCTGAAGTTTTCACAAAGCAGCCTTGTACTAGAAATTCACAGACTTCAGTTGGATTAGTGTTGCGTTTCAGGTTGCTGTTTTTCAGTCACCCTGGAGTGACTTATAAATCACAGGTATGTCTGTGCTGTGCCAGAATGGGCAACCAGTTCAGCAGGAATTTGATTGTAGTGTCCCCTTTAATATCAATATATGTCCCCTTTAATATTATATATGTCTTTATTAATGTCAGTATTTGAAATTTGGTCCATATGTAGAGGTCTCTATAGAGGTAACATGTGAAGAATGCAGCTTGGCATTGTCATGTTGAAATAAGCATGGAAGTCACTGAAAAAGACATAGTCTAGAAAGCAGCAGTTTAGTTCAGAGTTAGTGGGGCCTTCACAGATGTGCAAGCTACCCATACCATGGATACCCCAATACCATTACGGACACTGGATTTTGAACTTTACGCTGGTAACAATCTAGGCTGGGTTTCGCAAAAGCATCTTAGCACAAAGATGATTCTTAAATGGTAGGGTGAGCATCACAATGAACACTCTCTTTACCAATAGTTTCTTTTTTTGGCCTGGAGAACACAATGTCTATTATTTGTATAATCTGGGCCCAGTTTCCCAAAAGCATCTTAGTGTTGAGATCATCTTTATTGACAGGGAGAGTAAAGAATCATCTTTGTGCTAAGATGCTTTTGGGTAAAGCTGAAAGGTTTAGTCCTGAAAGATGGACTCGTCGGCCCACAGTGCACATTTCCACTGTGCATAATTTGCTTTTGCGGATGGTGAAAGGTTTGTCAAATTATTCCAGAGCCCATGTGATGATATCCATCACAGAAACACGCCCGTTTTTAATGTAGTGCCCTCTGAGGTATCAAAGATCACAGGCATTTAGTTGTGTTTTTTGGTCTTGCCCTTTATGCATAGATTTACCCAGATTCCCTGAATCTATTAATGATTTTATGCACCGTAGTGGGTGAAATACCTAAAATCATCGCATTCACTCATTCAGGAAGGTTGCTCTTAAACTGCTGGATTAATCGCTGACACATTTTTTTGGCAAAGTAGCGAGCCTCGAGTCTTCTTGCTCATAAAGGATTAGGCCTTTCCTGGTTGCTCCTTTTATACCCAAGCATGACTGCATCACTCATTTAAGATTTTTTAAACAGCATTTCACCATGTTTCTAGTCTTAAATTACAAACTTTTTGGGCACATGTTGCATCAATTTCAGAATGAGCGTATATTTACAAAAAAGAATGTTGATAAAGTAAACATATAACATTTATCACAGTTTTTGTTTAAATACAGGTAAAAACTGATTTACAAAGCACTGCTTTGCGTTTACATTAGCATTTCACACACCGTCCAAGTCTTCGAAACTGAAGACTGTAAGATGAAGAGGACACAGTTGGAGTCCATTGAAAGTGCGGTGCGCCCCCTGCTGGTCGCTTCTACTGCAGCGCTTGGACTCCATCAAAGAAAAAAACACACTGACATAGCAGCGGCTAAGCTAAGTCCTTCCGGTAGGTCAATATACCGCAATACAAAAGTTTATTACAAACTATTTGCCCTCGGATTTACTCCAGCGAATGCAGTAATATATCTCTAAAAAGAAAACCTGAAAACGAAGGCAGAGCTCATAAACACTCCGGTGGCCGTTTCGTACAATAAGAGGAGTTTTAACAGAGAGTTGTGGAAGACTCGCACAGGAGCGTGTCCGAGAGGAAGCAGTAATCAACCATCTTTCCTCTCGCCAGCAATAACAAGAGAAGAGAGGCTCCAAGTAGGGCTACAGTTTGGAATTTATCGTCTGTTTCTTACAAAAAAAGAGAGACAGAACGGTGCTTTGGAGTTATTACAGACCAAGACGAAGACTAAGGCCGTGGAACAGCACAGAGAGTCCTCCTCCAGCGGCATCATCCTCTCGGAGCGTAGCGATAGTAGAGTCAGTTTGATTTTTTTGCATTTCTTTTTTTCATGTTTCCAACAGGTTTACCTTCCCCTAATCCCCCACCGCCGACCCAAGAGCCAAGACCGGCAGCTTCGGATGTCCGCAGCGATAGCGGCTTAACGTCGCCCAAGAAGAGGAAGATCCACAGCGCCGAGAGGGAAGACTCCGCCGCCGAGCCCGTGCCGTCCTCCCCCAAAGCCGCCTGCCATTCCTCCTCCTCCGCGTCCTGCTCGGCCAACTCGTCGCAGCACATCCAAAAGAAGTTGAGGTTCGAAGAGCCGCTGGATCTCCTCGGGCTGGATGTGAAGATGGCCGAGGAGTCTCCCACGGCGTCCTGCTCCAAGGCTAAAAGCGCGCTGCTGGCCGCGGGGGTCGCTCACCACGCCAACGGCCTGACCAAGTCCGCCGGCTCGGCCACCTTCGCCAACAGCAAACCGGGCGCAGCCAAGAAACTTGTGATCAAGAACTTTAAGGGTGAGTGGGGCTGGAAGAGGAAGCGCTGGAGCTTTCGCTCTGGTCCTCGTCTGGACGGCTGATATCAGGGTCCTTAACTCGCTCATAATGCCGTAGCTAGGAGTCCCTGTCACCAACAACGCCAGCCTAGTAGTAGTTGAGCGGTAAAATTCAATGAAATTCAATATCGCAGTGTTCTCCAAACTCTTCTGTGTAGTACAGTATTCGGGGTTGATGATTGGTTACTGATGATTAGTGCACAAAGCGATTAGTGCTGGTAATATCTTATAAACCTGACATTGTTTTCATTAAACATAATTTCATTCTTCTCTTTAAAGGGGAATTCTGCTGAATTATATATATATATATATATATATATATATATATATATATATATATATTTTGCATAATTCCATCATTGAGATGTGAACATTCATTTAGAGTGGTTTGATGTAAAAATGGTGAATTGTAGAGAAACTTACTTACTTCGAGGGGTCTTGATGTCTACAACGCAAATATAGCCATTTTATTTACAATCGAAAATGACCAGTGGACCTACATGTGTTTACTTAGTTCCTATGTCATGGTAAAATGATGGAAAATCTAAAAAAAAAAAATTACAGTTAGGTACAGCTTGGTCTTACAACACCTTGTATGTATCTCTGTGCTGTGAATGGGTTATAAAAATAAGGTTTAATCCAAAACTGTATCTCAACTAGTCCATAAACAATGTCTTAGGCATCAGGCTGCGTATTTGTAACATTACATTTGATGTAAGAACTTTGTGAGGTAGCTTTCTGAGAGGCATTGAACGTCAGATGTCTGGTTCCATTCACTGCTGCTGTGAACAATTCTGACTTGGTAAGTTTTTCTAGAATGAAGCGTCTCACATCAAATTGCTCTGAATGAAATTATTTACATCTTAACAGTTTATTACACAGGAATTTTGAAAGATCACCCCCCCCCCCTTAAAAAGACACAAGAAACGTTCAGAAAGGAAGTTTACAGTTTGTTTAATAATTTTCAATTGTCCATTCAAAACAATCTGAATCTACCTTGCTAATAACATACATTTCAGTTAACTGCCAGGTCCTTTAATAAAGTTCTCAAAATAGAAACAAACTGCTTGGCAACAACAGGGATGTCATTATGGGCATTATATCATGATCTGTCAGTATCACTAAAGTATTGCTAAAACAATAAGTAGTTTCACTGTTTGCTGATATACACGATATGTTGCCCAGCACTTTTAGTAAACTGAGTTCTCGCAGTTCCTTGAGTGCACTGTTTACCTACATGTTCACAATTCTGCATTAGATATATCCAAATTCTACAGTATTTTTATACTGTTGAAATCCAGATTGATTCTTATTAATTATAAGCACTCGATGCACCACTTGATGCTGGAAATCATAGTTACTTTATAGACAGTATGTTATTCATAGCATAACAAAATAGCATAAGATGGTGTATTGTGATCACAGCTGTTACTCTAAAGCAGGTGTGTCCAGTCTTTTCTGCAAAGTGATGTGGCTGCGGATCTTCATTCTAATCGAGCAGGAGCACACCTGATTCCACTTCACTAATCAATTGGTCTTCAAATAGTTGCTCATGTGTGCTTTGTTGGCATGAAAACCTGTGTCCACATTGGCCCTTCGCAGACAAGACTGGACACCCCAACTATGAAGATTTAGTTTATAATACCTTTGAGGGGTTAACAGTGTCTTGAATGTTTGTATTTTTGTCTAAATTACATTTACAGTGTTCGTCACGATGTACGTTACAGTAGAGTCACTCATGGTGATATGTTTGGCCTGTATTGCACACTCTTGTTCTATGTCATATTTTCACAGAAAAGCCAAAATTACCAGAAAATTACACACATGAGACCTGGCAGAAGTTGAAGGAAGCAGTAGAGGCCATACAGAACAGCACTTCAATAAAGTACAATCTGGAGGAGCTCTATCAGGTGGGAAATAAGTGCTGTAAGCTTCTCCATGTGGACAGATTGTTTCCCATGTTCTTACAGTTGCTGTTAAGAAAGCACATGGACTGAAAAAAAAAGTGGTCCAGGAGTGTCAGTATCTTTGAAAGGGCTTTCTGGCCTAAAACTTCATTTAATGTTTTTTTTTTTTTATGTTGTGTTATTAATCTTGTATTGTACAGCATTATATCTGATATATTGTTATTATGATATTTGTATTCCTATCAGTAACATTAGGTATCTGGCTTCCTTTTGCATTAGCCAGCTAGCAGGGAAAAGAACAATTCAGACAGCCTCAAATATCCACTCAAAACTGTAGTTTTTCAAAAGTTCTTCCCACCTTCAACATACATCATCACAAGGGGAGTTTTCCTTGTTGTAAAACCAGAAGATCTCACAGTAGAGACTACTGTGGCACTGTAGGAGGCAAGTAGATATGTTTACAACGGATGTAGTGATGGCTAAACTGTTTTGGTCAGAGTGCTCCTTTAATGCTCAGCAGTTTGTTTTTCTATGTCAGGGATGACCAGCTACAGTCCTGAAGGGCCTTTGTCCATCACAGCCTGATTATTCCCCTGCCCTAGCACACCTGATTCAGTGTTCATTGACGGGTTTAGTAAGTGCATTTGAGCAGGGAAATCACCAAGCTGTGCTGGACTGAGGCCCTCCAGGAACATGTGAACACCCCTGGTCTATGTGAACACCCCTGTCACTAAATCTGTTTTCATTGTTTTCAGGCTGTTGAGAATCTGTGCTCCCATAAGATATCAGCCAAGCTCTATAAGCAGCTAAGAGTGGTCTGTGAGGACCACATCAAGGCGCAAATCGATCAGTTCCGAGAATATCCTTTTCAGCATGTTCACGGTTTCTGCTGATCTTTGACAGTCTGCTGTGTTCATTCAGAAAATCCCACAACGTTCACTGGTGTGTACAAATCAAAGAGAAGGCTGCAGCACAGGGGTGTTCAATCTTATCCACAAAGGCTGGTGTGGCTGCAGGTTTTCACTCCAAACAAGCTGAAGTACACCTGATTCTACTTGTTTGAAGACTAAGACCACCTGATTAAACATTTCATCAGGTGACCTGCTTTGTTGGAGTGAACCCACAGCCACACCGTCCCTCTGCGGATAAGATAGGACACCCCTGCTGTGGCACAAAAGCTGTGACTAGGACTGGGTATCGAAAGTCAATACTTGTATGGTGCTAACTTAATTGCTTCAGTACCGCAGAATATTATAAAGTTCCATGTTATTCAGTGCTAAATTTCAGTACTTAAATAGTCAGTCTTACCAGCATTGGCGAGCTAAAATCTAGACCACCCACTTGCTGTCTGTTACATTCTGTATGCATGTTATTAATGTTGGCACTTCTTTATTTGTCTGCAGTTCATTGAATTCAGTAAATATACACATTTCCAGCACCTCTTACTCATTTCTGGTATAAGCCACACTCGTGTTCAGTTTGCAGTTTAAATAAATGTATCGAAAGCTTTAATTCAGGAACAGGTATTGCAGTCAAAGTATCAGGATTAGTATCAGTTTAATTTTTTTTTACAATTCACAGCACAAAAAAAATTATGTAAATTGTGAGTGATCTGGCGTTCTATTGTTTTATTGTTGATTATTGTAGCAAATGTGGGCCTAGATTCTTTTTCCATGATTTTTTTTCCAAGTTTTTTCCCTTAACTCATCTGCCACGGACTCCCTAGACAGTGTGCTCTTCTTGAAGAAGATAGATAAATGTTGGCAAGACCACTGCAGACAAATGGTAAGGGTACTGATTTAGAACTATGTACGTGACTTTGATTCTTTTCCTGTGAATGCTTGAAAGATTCTCCAACATATTGTGGCCCTATATGAACTGCTTCTGACATTGTTACTTTGAATGATGACTAGGGAAATTAAGAGCAGATGCATTTCTTATAGTTGTATTTTACCAACTGCACTAAATCCCTGATGTATTTGGTGATTGTTCTTGTTTAGTCAAACCATTAGATTTCCTGGTGATGTTCTGTAATACCTGTACATACGAAATGAGCCACGTCTTTGCTTTAATAACATGACAGTGTATCATATAGTCAAGGTCTCGAAGCTGAGATTTTGTGGCTACAGTTGTATTCTGTGCATGCATTATGACAAATGTAACTGACATGAATCGTGTGATTTTCAGTTATGTCACTTATATTAGTGTTAATTTCTAATAACTTATTTCTGTTTAGTATATGCTCTATGATTACAGTTTACTCAGTTATATCTTAGGGATGCACAGATATGGGAATTCTGGGCCAACTGTGATATGCACATATCTGCCTGGGCCGATACATGAACATTTATGAAATGTAGAAACGGTACCTGGTTTAGCATTAGAGAGAAATATGACATGTATTTCTGTAGGGTTACAAATGCTGTAAAATGAATAAAATGCCAAATGCAGATTTTGCACAGTAATCCAGCATCACCTAAACATTCTGAATTCTGATTCTAAACATATGTCTCATGGCGATACTTTCTTTTAAGCAGTCATCATATATAAGAGATTTGATATTTACATATGTGCAAATCTGTTGCCTCTGACATGGGCTAAATTCTGTCTCTATCTTTTTTTTGTGTGTGTTTGGTTTTCTTTTACCAGATCATGATTAGGAGTATATTTTTGTTTTTGGACCGCACATATGTTTTACAAAATTCAATGCTGCCATCAATCTGGTACGTATCCCTTCCTGCTGGACATCATAAGAATAGAAGAATATCTTTACTTGACACCACGTGTGGTCTTCTGCATGGATGTATTTTGTGCTACCTAAAGTTTTTCATTTACTTGTTTTTTCATCTCCAGGGACATGGGATTAGAGTTGTTTCGTTTCTACATCATCAGCGACTTGAAAGTGCAGAGCAAGACAATTGATGGGATCCTGCTGCTTATTGAGCGAGAGCGCAGTGGGGAGGCCATAGACCGAAGTCTCCTGAGGAGCCTACTCAGCATGCTTTCTGACCTGCAGGTACTACAGACACACCCAGCCATGTTACATGTGTGGCATTTCAGATGACTTCATGTTGTAGGCCAGTAAACATAAATCTGGAGAAAAAGTTTTCTTTAGAGGCAATTTTATTCTACAACACCCTGCAAGTACCTCTCCACCAATATATTTCAGACCAAAACTTTCTCAACACTTGTAAAACCGTCTCAGGCATCAGGCAACGTATTCACACCCATTTTGAGTAATAGTTCTGATCTTTGTCAGTTTCTCCAGAACATCTCAACATTTGTCATCAAGCCACTCTGAATTACTTTGTTTATGTCTTAGCAGTTTACTTATGCAGAACATTAAAAAAATTGGAAAGAATTCCCTTTTAGTCCTACTTGGAAAACATACCACTTGGGTAGGATGGTTATAGCACGTTGTGGTATATGTGAATACTCAAGACCACTGAAAGTGGTTGCTTTGTATTCCTAAGATCCCATGTCAGTCATCCTCTAATTATTGTTCTGTGAGTAAAAAAAGTCGTTTGTTCTTCCTATTCTCACCCTTGCTTAAAAACAAGTTACAGTATGTTAACACTAAATGATCTGCACTATTATGTTTGGTGTAATTTACAGTCAGTCTTTTAGGAGAGTTTGTCATTTAGTGAAGAAATGATTTTGAATGTCTCTTCTGCTTTGGACAGATTTATCAAGATTCATTTGAGCAGCGTTTTCTGGAGGAGACAAATCGTCTGTATGCTGCAGAGGGCCAGAGGCTGATGCAGGAGAGAGAGGTGATTTTATACATTTATACATAAAGTTTAGCTTCAGAAGAACGTTCTTTATTTATAGTTGTTCCTCTGATGAATGAAGAAGATAGGTAGGGATGTTACAATACCAGGTTTTGATTTTGAAACTGAACTGTAGTATCGCAATGCTTGATACCAAACAATACTAAATAAAAACTACTCATCCTTTTCTGAACATCAAATGTTTATCATGTACATAAGTGTTTTTTATCAGTGCGAAACTTATTTAGATGTTAAATGAGTAACTAAATATTTTTAAATTGACCGCGTTCACTGTGTTCTGAAGGGAAGATAACCAGTGAGATGAAGAAATACAATATAATCCAACATTCTTCATGCTGTGTTTAAAACACATACAAAATGGGTTATACCTTCTGTTTGCTTCTAGGGGCATATAATCACATTTGTTACTGAATAAAACTCATCAGTGTATGTTAGACATTATAATGGTTCTCTGTCCATCCTAATCACATTAGCAATTTTGCTGATTGATTTCCCTGTATGATTTGACTCTTAAAAATAAGGTTTCTAAATGGTTCTTGGCTGGGACATACAGTTCCAGGAAAACCTTAATTGGTATGGAACCATTAAGTCACATTATGTTTGTTGTGTTTTTTATGTTTACTTATATTTTCACTCTTAAAAAAATCCAGCTTTGCTTGACTTTACATGTGATTCTCTGTAACTGAGGACATTTGAAGGTGCACAACATTGTAGTGTAGCAGTTTGACCGTGTTAGCTACTATGTAAACATAGCTATCAACATAGCGTCTTTACTAATCATCAACTTCAGGCTTATACTGTAGTGGTTATTTTAGCGCACAATGAACAACCAAAGACAATTGAATCGTTAACTGCAATCATTTATTTGTAAGCTAAAAATTTATCATGGCAGGCATGCTCTCAAGACATTTATTTTAAGAATGTAGGCAAAGTACAGCCTCATCTTGGTGCTAGCTTATTGAAAGTATAAAACAATAGACTATTTAATTGTTTGCCTCATTGCAGTATTGAAAATGTACTGAACTTTAGATAAATTGTAAACTCTACAAATAGGGAAAAGTACAGTCAAAAGTAAAGAAAGTAGAAGTATAGAAAAAGTATATTCATTATAGAAATAAAGATTTACATTATATTACTATAATTATAGGAAAAGTATAGAGTGTCTTTTTTGTATGTATTCCTTTGATGTGCCTTTAGATTTCAGCAACATTACTGTTTTATACAACCCAAACTTCTTTTGAATTCACTGCACAAACTTGGTCAGTCTGGTGGCATTTCAGTTATTTACAGACTGGTCATTGAGTGTGTTGTAATTTTTCTCTGAAGGTGCCGGAATATCTCCATCATGTCAACAAACGCTTGGAGGAGGAAGCAGACAGAGTCATCACATATTTGGACCAGAGCACACAGTAGGTCTCCTGACCACATACCCAACACTCAAACTGCTTCCTTCCTTCCTTCATTTTCATTCTGTCTGTCTGTCTGTCTGTCCGTCCCAAAATAGGATTAGAGATGAGATGTGAGTGACTCTTTGTGTAATCTCTCTTAGAAAACCCCTCATCGCAACTGTGGAAAAGCAACTACTTGGTGAACACTTGACCGCAACACTTCAGAAAGGTACCTCCCTGAAAAATTTATATGAACAATTATGTGACTTGGCTGGCATTTCTCTCCATTGTTGAGGTCTAAATTTAGTACCTCTTAGCCAGATGTACACTACACACCTTACAAAAGGAGTTTACAGATTTTGACAGAAGGGGCAAAAATCATATGTACACCCAGCTTTACTGACCCTTTTTGGAGAAAAATGTGTAATTTAAATTTCATTTTCATTTTGTGAGTTTTCTGATGTTTGCCGTTATTTGCTAGGCTTGAATCACCTCCTGGACGAGAACCGCATTCAGGATTTGTCTCTGCTGTATCAGCTGTTCAGTCGTGTTCGAGGTGGAGTGCAGGTTCTCCTGCAGCACTGGATTGAGTACATTAAGGTAGGTCGTAGGCCTGTACGCAAGTGCAAAGCTTACTGTATGCAATATGTATAAAAACTGTTCAATGTGTTTATACTACAGGCCTTTGGTAGCACAATAGTTATCAATCCAGAGAAAGACAAGACAATGGTGCAGGAGCTGTTGGATTTCAAGGATAAGGTGGATTCCATCATTGATGTATGCTTCATGAAAAATGAAAAATTTGTTAACGCTATGAAAGAAGCTTTTGAGACCTTCATCAACAAGCGGCCAAACAAACCTGCAGAGCTCATAGGTTCGTGCCATATGACGCTTCAGCTCTTTCGACCGTCTTGTGTTTATAATACTTATTCATAGTAAAACTTTTAAAGTCAAATATTTTCTTTGTTAAGATGGTCTAGAAGATAGATTACTCATATGAATACTGCAGTGGTCTAATAGCATTGGTGTTATTTTTCCCTTTTTTTAAAGCAAAATATGTGGATTCAAAACTTAGGGCAGGAAATAAAGAAGCCACTGATGAGGAACTTGAGAAGATGCTGGACAAGATTATGATCATATTCAGGTTCATTTATGGTAAAGCATTTTTTTGTGTTTCCAGCTTCTCTACAATATCTCTACCAGACTTTGTCTTGAAAGGTTTTTTCTTTGTTTCATAGGTAAAGATGTCTTTGAGGCCTTCTATAAGAAAGATCTGGCAAAGAGGTTGCTGGTCGGAAAAAGTGCCTCTGTAGATGCTGAGAAGTCAATGCTGTCCAAACTGAAACACGGTCAGTGCTCCACATGCTGATCACTGTATTGCTAAAGTTTCCACACAAAATGATACCCATACATGATTTATATGCTATTTTAGAATAGGTTTCACCATTTTACTATTAATTTAAAGGTGAAGTAGGTGACTTATTGTGGAGAAATGTTTTGTTATATTTTCTTGAAATACTTGAAATTTTGAAATCTTAAATTTTTCCTGATTTAGCCAATATAGCTAGCTACTTATGTAGCTACATTATGTAATAGTCTAACGCTATGTATTAGTTTGAGTGCATTCATGTGCTCTAGTAGAGTGGCTTTGGAAGGAGGGCTGAACTAGCTTTTGGTTTCTACAAAATGACGTACTCCAGCTTTTATCTCAACATATTGCAGAATAAGTACGGATATTTTTTTTTTTGTTTGTTTTAGAATGTGGAGCTGCATTTACAAGTAAATTGGAAGGAATGTTTAAGGACATGGAACTTTCAAAAGACATCATGGTGCAATTCAAACAGGTAGTAATTTTTTTGCTGGTCCGGTGAAACAGAATGCTCAGTGCCTTTGGCTGGTTGAGCACTGTTTAAACTTTTCTCTCTTTTTATTCTTCACCTCAGTACATGCAATGCCAAAATATCCCTGGTAACATTGAGTTGACAGTGAACATTCTCACTATGGGTTATTGGCCAACCTACGTCCCCATGGAAGTACATCTGCCTCCAGAGGTTTGTTGGGGGGGATTTTAATTGTATATGTTGTAAGAGGTTTTTAATCACCTTGGCTGTATAATAATGATAGAATCTTATTAGTGTTGTTCATGTTGCTTTATCCCTCCAGATGGTGAGACTGCAGGAAATCTTCAAGACGTTTTATCTGGGGAAGCACAGTGGAAGGAAGCTACAGTGGCAGTCAACATTAGGACATTGTGTACTGAAAGCAGAATTCAAGGAGGTATGTGAGTTCCAGACCAGTTTGAGGTACAGATTAATCTTGATCCTGAACTAAAAATGGCTTGTAGAGGAGAACTAGTATAAATCATTACATGGAAAACTGGTAATTAGTGAAGCAATATTTGGCACTAGCTTGTAGGAGATGATTCAGATGTATAATACCTAAACATTACAGGCCACAAGCCAAACGTTTGGAGCTATGACATGAGCTACAAGATAGTGACCTTATTTTTTCTTGTCTTTCTACAGGGAAAGAAAGAGCTTCAGGTGTCCCTATTTCAAACATTAGTCCTGCTTATGTTTAATGAAGGGGAAGAATTTTGCTTGGAGGAGATTAAACTGGCTACAGGAATTGGTATGTGTTGAGTTTGAGTTTCATTTCCAGCATAACTGATGCAACTTAATGTGATCATGATTCAGATCTAAAGCCCTATGCTTTAGATGAATGACACATTAAGTGTTTGATAGAAATATATTCATTATAGAAGTGATCCAAGAGATGAATTAAAAGTAACCTCAGCTAAATCATTGTTTCATTGCGTACAGAGGACAGTGAACTGAGACGTACCTTGCAGTCCCTGGCCTGTGGAAAGGCACGAGTTCTCACCAAAACCCCAAAAAGCAAAGATGTAGAAGACGGAGACAAGTTTTCTTGCAATGATGATTTCAAACACAAGCTCTTCAGGATTAAGATCAACCAGATCCAGATGAAAGAGACTGTACGCAGCCCCATTCTGTCTCAGGTTTTTGTTTTGTCAGGAGTAAAATCTGGTCTCTGAGCTTACTGACCATTTGGTATACTACTTGTTTCTGTATTACAGGTGGAAGAGCAAGCTAGCACTACAGAGAGAGTCTTCCAGGACCGGCAGTATCAGATTGATGCCGCCATTGTCCGGATAATGAAGATGAGGAAGACCTTGAGCCATAACCTCCTGGTTTCTGAGGTCTACAACCAGCTTAAGTTCCCTGTCAAGGTGAGGCCAAATGTAAAACCCACCAGTATGAATGCATTTTTTGGCAGATAGAGTAAGTACCATTCTTACTTCTTTTTTGTCTCTGCCTTCCAGCCTGCTGATTTAAAGAAGAGGATAGAGTCACTCATTGATAGGGACTACATGGAAAGAGATAAGGAAAACCCCAATCAGTACAACTATGTGGCTTAGAGCGAGATGGATGAATGGATAGGTGGGTGGGTGGAAGGAAAGAAGAGTGGAGAATCCTGAGAAAGAGGAGGCTGTTCTCAGTGAACATGTGGAATAAAAACCTTTGCTTCAGTTGATGTTATCTTTACCCTCTCTAACCCAGCGACCGACAACTGAATGGATATTTCTCCACCAGGTCTTGTCAAGGGTATGTTTTTCCACTGGACTGCATGCCCATTAGAGAAAAATATATCGTTCAGTTTCAGAGCTCTTCAGTAAGAATCGGACAATCCCAGACACACTTTTTTTTTGCTTTCTTTCTTTTTTATTTACTGAAAGGAAAACTGTATTTATTTTCAGAATTGGTTCCAAGTCCATTTGTTTATGGCATCATTTTCTGTTTGTCACATTTCCTTTTAATTCACTGTGTATCCTGTGCAAAATGTTCTTATCACATGTGGGCGAAAAAATGGAAAAAGATTACTAATAAAATGAGACATTTGTTCAGTCAGTGTTGTATTAGGCATCAGTATATAACATTAAAAATAAGATTTCATTTCACTCTTTTTAAGTGGGAGTTTATCCACACAAAAGCAAACTTTGACATAAGTGAACAATTCTAGGTCACTGGCTGTTTTGAAATGGATGACCTTGAACAACAGAAGCAGAATTTGAAAACTTTAAATTGTGCCAAAATAGATCAAACTAAGCATTTCTTTTGTCATAGGATTTATTCATGCTGTAACACTAACGTCAGTGCATCCACTTTTTCATGTTTTCCTTTCTACTCAGATCCTTGTGTTTCTTTTTTTGTTTATTTTTGTATATATATATATATATTACATACACCTTGCAACCAAACTTCGACGTGGTTTTCTGGCCATAGGCGTCAGACAAAACCATGTTGTTAATAACAATGAAAATCTTTCTTGGTTAAGGACAGGGGTTGAGCTGTGTCTGTAAAACTGGCACATTAAGCTTAAAACAGTGAGCTTTGTTTAAATAAATGAAAATTAACCCAGATGCCCTGTTGGGTTTGTCCAGAAACCCAATAGTTTCTATAGAAGCACAGTGTCACACTTGCATTATTCTAGTGTCTCCAGGTTTATACATCCGTGACCTTCTGAAATAGGCTTATTACACTGAGAAACTCCTGTATGGCATCACTGGATTAATAGAGTTGTATGACAATGGTGTTTCGATAAATCATGCTTAAGTGGACGGCTGTCCGGTGTCTGAATACGTTTGCCTGTTTTTATTGCTTCAGATTAAACAACTGTGTTTCCATGATCATTTCCCTTTTCTACTGCAGTGTTGTTTGCTGCCTTTTTAAACCATGAATTGCAAGTGGATTCAGTCTTTAGAGCAGTGGTTCCCAACCCTGGAATTGGAGTACCCCTCACTGTGCATATTTTGGTGGGTTTTTTTTTCCCCTCATCTAACTAAGCAGTCAGTTAACAAGCCCTTCCTAAGGTGAAGGGAGTGTTTGAGCAGGAACATAGTAAAAAGTGCAGTGCAGGGGGCTACCAGGACGAGGTTTGGGAACCTGTGCTTTTAGAGCAGTGCTTTTTAACTCTTGCCATGGGTACCTGCATAGTTTCAACTATTCTCTACTCCAACACACCTGATCCAACTTATGTAATTGTCCAGCTCTTTGTGAGCTGGATCTGACGTGTTTGAGTCAGAGAACCTGATACCATGCAGGAAAGTGAGGGGACTCGAGTTCTAAATCACTGCTCTAGAGCACAGGTTCCCAACACTGCTCCTGGAGCACCTCCTACTCTGCACATTTCAGTATTTTACTGCTCAAACACACCCACTTAAGTGTTGGAGGGCCTTGTTAATTAGCTGATTAGTTGAATCAGGAGTATTGCAAAATGGGAAACACTAAACACTGACTTTTCCTGGGGACCCACTACCCTGCTTAGTTTCAGTTATTCTCTGCCCCAGCACATCTGATCCAGCTCTTGGAAAGCTTGATAATTACCTGATTAGTTGGATAAGGTGTCTTGGGCAGGGAATAGTTCGATCTGTGTTAGGAAGTAAGTCTCCAGGAGTGGACTGGAAAATTTGCTTTCCTGGAGATCTACCACTGCAGAGTTTAGCTCCAACGCCAGTTTTATGTACCTGATCTATGTAAATAAGGCCTTCAGAGGCAGGTCAATGTTAGAGCCAGGTGTGGTGGATCTTAACTCTCAAAGTCTGGTAGGGGAAATAAAGGTAAAGGACTATATTAGTTTTAAGTGACTTGTAGGGCTGGATTCCAGAACAAGCATTAAGCCCAGTTATGGACAAGATTACAATGCCATTGGTAAATCACCTCTGGATATTATTTTTACTCAGGCTTGGCTTTAGGGAAACCGTCCACTACAGAAGTGTTTCAGCCCTGCTCTTAGAGGCCCACTGACATGCACATTTTAGTGTTTTTCCTACTTTAACGCACCCACTTGAAGATGATGGGCTGTTAATGAGCTGATAAGTTGGATAAGGTGTGTTGGGAGCAGGGAAAACACTAAAGGTGCAGGGCAGTGGGCACACAAGTTATCAAACTCTGAGAAGGCAGTTTTTTCAAAAATAATAAATACAGCACACTTTGGTGCCCCACATAATATAATTATACGATGAAATGCAATCTGGAGTCTGAATTTTGTTTTCTCGTTTAATTGTTCTGTTTTTCATTTGCGCTTCAGGAACATGTGCACTCCCCAGCTTCTTTAGCTTGTCGTTAAGCGTCAGAGACTGTCGCAAACCAGTGTCGTCTGCTGTGGAGCTGCTGCGCTGTAGCTCAGTGTGGGAACTTAGCCGGTTAATTCACTGATCGTCTCTTGTTAGATGTTTCTTTTTTAAAGTGCCGGTTGCTTAAAAACCATTTTGAAAAACTACGAAAGGCAAGACCGAAGGCAGAAGTACGACCAGCAAGAATGTTTAAGAAGTAAGCATGGGCTGGGGCTTCTGGCTAAGCTAAAGCTAGCGCCCAAAACAGGCACGACTTTCACAGAATGAAAACAGAATATGGGGTGAAAAGTAACTTGAACTCATGACTCGGTTCATAATGGAGAGGAGAATGGTAGTTTTCAAATGTCGAGTTTCAAGGACTAGAAGTGTCCTTAAGCTTGCAGCTAACTAACTCTCTGTGCCACTAGCGAGCTGTTCTGCTAGCTGGGAAGTGAAGTTATCGCCGTGTCGTTTTCTATTCGCTCTGCTGCTCCTTCACAGCCCCGATTCATTAATGTAGCCAGGCGTAGCTACAGTTAGACTCTTAAAGCTGGTTCTTCAGTAAAAGGAATGGTTCTGTTTAGAACCATGCGTTTTACATGGAACCACTTCATGCTTAAATGGCTCTTTGCATGATGAAATGGTTCCTTAGATTGATGGAGAGAGTGCCACACAGCTAGCTATATGGTAAATAAAAATTGTCCTGCTATCGTGTCAAGCTTGTAACAAAGGAACCCTTTTTGGTGCTGTATAGTACCATTTTCACAAAGGTCGTTATATAGAACCATATACAACTCATTCTCTTTAATCTGGAAAAAAAAATCACCATGCAGAGGACCATTTAAGCATGAAATGGTTCTATGTAGAACTCGTGGTTCTAACTCGAATCATTCCTTTTACTAAACAACTCTTGAAGAACCATCTTTAAGAGTCATTGTGATATTACAGAACCGTTTCATCATAACGTCTTAACAGTTATTAGTAATGAAAAGAGTTTAAGGACAGATGTCCCAGATTAAACCTAGTCCTGAGCTGAATTGCATTGCCAATGCTGATTGCTGTTGAAAAAGATTTTAGTGTAGGTTTAGGCTTTAATGTGGGTCAGCAATACTGGTCTTAAATTACCCGTAGTCCGCTTGTAAGTTGTAGTTGATGTGCTTTACAACTTTCACAATGTCAAAGAGCTCCTAACCTTGAAAAGATGTGGATCATTTAACTAGGATTTTGCAGTAATCTGGAATGATCAAATGTGAGCGCTGCAATGTTCCAGTCACTAATGGTCTTTGGTCCAGGTTTTTTTTTCTCAACATAGTTTGAATAGAGCAAATTCTCCACAGACTATTCAAAAAATACTAAGAAAAAAAGAATCCAAAATGGAAAAAGGTCATTATATACATACATATGATATGTAATCATTTGTAATGATTGCTTGGTTTCTCTTTCAGATTTGATGAAAAGGAAAATGTTTCAAACTGTATTCAACTGAAGACCTCAGTAATCAAAGGCATTAAGAATCAGCTCCTAGACCAGTTTCCTGATATTGATGCATGGCTGAACCAGATAATGCCCAAAAAGGACCCCGTCAAAATCGTGAGATGGTATGAAAATCTATGAACACATGGCTTTGCAGATTTTTTCTTCATTACTTGTTTTATTTGTTTAATATGCCTTTTGCTGAAACTGATTTTTATTTTACAATATCTATTCTCATTCATTTTCTGCAGTCATGAACATATTGAAATTCTGACAGTAAATGGAGAGCTGCTGTTCTTCAGACAGAGAGAGGGACCATTTTTTCCCACCCTCAGACTCCTACACAAGTGTAAGTCCTGCTAGTCATTAAACAAACAGTAGTTGTAGCAGCTGCATCATTCTTTCCTCAAGCCACCTGTAACACTTCTTAAATTTATCTTACATTTCTGTGAGTTCTTGTATTTGAGCTCCTCTCTTCCTGTGCTCTTCCTGTTTTTTTTCTCGTTTTGTGTCACTCTCCTCTGCAGCACTCTTAGTTGGGCCTTGTGAACTGCCATTATTATTACATACACAGTAATATTTTGAAGGAAATGAGCACCAGAATATTCTCTCTCACACTTGCACAAAATTATTGTATGCTACAGCCTGAACCAGGCCTGATATTTTCGTCCAAACCTGAACACAAACTGGCCCATCACCCAAAATGCCACATAAGACCTGATATTTCTAATAATGGTGCCATATCAGTTACAGACTTCTGCCAAAATAATTACTTACTTTCTTGAAATTCGATAACTAATTGTTTCAACATAGTATGTCCAATTCTAGAGAAAAGGAGTCATTATTTTCAGATATAGTTATTACTTTGAAAAAAGAAGTTATTTTATCTAAGTCAATATTACGAGAAAGTAAATCACTGTTTGGTGTCCTGGTGGTTAGGGAGCCCTAAGTGAGTGCCTATGGTGCCTACAGGAAAAAATGGCCCTGCCAACACAGCTCTTGTAAGAATAAAGTTTCCATACAGTAATGCCCAAATATATTAGTACAGGAACATTTTGACTTTGTTTTACTAGTAGATTCTGTGGTCTAGTCTAGCATTGCTCCTGCTACATGGTACTGTATTCCTTGACACAACACGCCTGATCCAGCTCATCAACGGATTACCAAGCCTTTTGTGCCCTGGATTAAGGCCTTGTTCAGGCTTCTAGCCCAAATCCTCTTTGATTTTTGAGAGTCTGAACAGCAAAAAAAAAAAGTTTCCAAATCACATGATCATTTCACATTTGTAGGTGGTTTGAAATGCAATTCCAATTGGATTTTTACAGATGCATCTCAGTGTGGACGCTCTAATTGTATTTCAAAATGTCTTTTTTCCATGACTCACAATGCGACACACAACAATGACGTCAAGTACAGTGTGACTGAAGTGCTGGGATTCCAGAAGAGCACCAAATATTCATGCTTATGCCAGAGAATTTTTAAGAGTTTGGAGGGCGGGATGGTGTTCCTCCAGTTCTCCTGCATGTAGTTACTATGTAGTTACTGACGCCACGTCATTACCACAACAACTCATGCAGATAGGCTGGTGATGTCTGGACACACATCTGATTACTTGCAAATAACAGTGCGGATAGTCGTCTCAAAAGTTCTGATTTGAGAAACAAATCTGATTTGCCTACAGTCAAAATCTCCACTAACATTTCACCTTTATTTTGTTTGAGCTGGTGCATGAAAAATGTGTTTTTCTACAGATCCCTTCATTCTTCCACACCAACAAGTTGATAAAGGAGCTATCAAATTTGTTCTAAGTGGAGCCAATATCATGTGCCCCGGGCTGACGTCACCAGGAGCCAAACTCTACCCTGCTGACGTAGACACAGTAGTTGTATCCTCTGAAATATTTTCGTTTCCTTTATTCATATGACAAATTAGCATAGTGTCTTGTCAGATGCATTTAGTGCTAATAATGTTACACTTTTAATGCTTGTAAAACAGGTTATGAAATGTTTATTTTTGCCCTTGACTCACTGTGTCAGGCCATAATGGCAGAAGGTAAGCAGCATGCACTCTCTGTAGGAGTCATGAAGATGTCTGCGGAGAACATGTAAGTGTCCTTGCCTGTTCTACACAGATAAAATAGGAAGGCAAACAGAAAGCAGAATTAGGATAATACATTTGAATCCACATAGATAAAGGGTAGTGTGCTTAACAGTATAGTATATGTTCTGTTTTATTGTAACAATGTCTTTGGTTTTTGATATTATCAAAGCCGCTATTAGAGACACTTCCACTTTTTTGCATTAATGTTTATTATCTCTCCTTGACAGAGAGAAGGTAAATAAGGGGATTGGAATTGAGAACGTTCATTACCTCAATGATGGACTGTGGCACATGAAGACGTACAAGTAATGGAACCCCCGGAATGTGACAGAATCTCTGAACTGCTATCATCAGTAAACCAGTCTACTGCACATCATTGGACTCCACAGCAAATCACACCAAAAGTTTTGAATTAACACCATTTTGATGCACAAATAAAACCTGCATTCAAGTTATTTTAGACTGTTTGTTTTGTTTTTTAAGAGGTCATAGCGCTATAGAACACACTGTTCCTACTAGAGCCTGTTTCAAAACAGTGTGCAAGTCTCAATTATCGAAGGCCAGGAAAAAAGCTTGTTAATCACACCCTGACCATACGTAAACTCCGTGTGTAGTTATTTAGGTACGCAAGGTCTTGGGAGTGTATTGTTTAAACCAACAATGCAACATTCTTGATGTTAACTAATAAGATGAGGTGCAGCTGAGTGTAGTACTGTCAACTGAACCTGTAAAATATGATGTAAAGCTAAATTTCTATGGAAACAAACCCTTAAACCAAAACTCAATCTTGGAACTGGAAATAACGAACTCTCAATTATATAGATTTTTATGTAATGTTACAGGAGAATGCAAAATTGTTGTTTATTTGTAATGTAAGTTTAATATAATGTCATTTTGGAGCATTACTGTTGTTCCATCCATTATGAAGTTTTCACACAATCTAAAACAAAAAAGACATTTTGAACAGCAATGATATATTTGTGTACCTTATTAAAATGTTACATGTGGGCATAACACTCAGCTCACAAATTGATATTCTTGCTTTGAACAAATTTGACTGAAAGAAAAATGACTGGACCCATGTTGTTGCACTGCTTATTAACGAACATGCTGGTGTAGGTGTTCGAAGTGTCCATTCTCCACAGTGCACATTGTCACTGTTTTGCATTGCAATATTACAATGTATTGTTACACCCCCTACTATTAAATGTTAATTTTAATTGTTTATTAGTACCTTTTTAAAAATGTAACATTTATACAAATGTAAAATCTTAAAATCGTACTGTGTATTTAAAAGGGAATTTAGACTCTTCAAAGCAGCAGTTATGCAATTGCTTATAAACGAGGCAAATATACCAAACTCTTAAAAGTGCAAATAACGTAACAGACATGGAATAATATCGTATTTTACTGTGTTAGTCTGGACAAGAATTATCTGCTTTTGGGGTTTAAGGCTTTTCTTGTGAATTAAATATTAAAGAAAATCCCAATTTAATTTGTTTTATTTGAATCATGTATTAACACCCATACAACAGTTCATATAAAAATGAATCACATTTATAGATAAACAGATACCTCTAATCAAATGCATCTATTTTTCAAATAACACCAACGTGGTACTAATTCGGTTCCCGTCTATTTTACTTTCGTTCAACGCAAAGCGTATTACCTGTATTTGTATAAAAAGAAAACATAGCTTAATCATGTGTACCAGTGTAAAGTTTACAGTTTCCAAGTCCCCCTGCAAGGAAAAAAATGTAGAAAGAAGTATAAAACTCTTACTTAAAACCCATTATCAGGTTACCACTGCAATATCAGACCTTTTAAAACATGAGAATCAGAGAATTTAAAACATACATATTTTTGTTGTTGCATATTTTATAAACATATATATTTAAATATCTGTTAGATGTCTGATTCTGAAGGTTTTGGACAACAGTCATAAGTCAGCAGTGGTATGCAGTTACAAATCACTTGCTATAACAGTGCATAGTGCTTCATTTCTTCATTATAATTTACTGTATAATACTTCTACATGAACAGGCCTCAAGGTGGTCATAATTTAGAGACTGAGTGTTCCTTTCCAGTAACTCAAATATAGTGTGTAACATGGTTCTAAATAAAGTCTTGGTTCCTGTGTTTTAAGTAGTGTGATCAGGTTAATCCCCTGCAGACCCTTAAAATAAATTTGAAAGGAAAAAAGTATAGAAACATTTCACCATTTTAAACTGAGAAATATATTTCCCCAAGTAAACCTTAATGCACTCACTTTTGAATACAGCACATTTTGTCATAAGGTACATCACAGCATGTTCAACGGTGCCTTGAATTATAAGTTAAATAATGCTCACTAAGAGCAATGTACAAAATTTTTATGTGCACCCCATGGTGCATCAGTAGTCTTGCTGATTGACATTAGTCATTGTCTGATCCTTTTGGAGGTAAAAATGTCAAGGAGTCATGAAAGTTGTGTCCATATGGCCTCAGCCTGTAAACTCCAAACATCATGACTTGCATCTGGCTAGGGGACATCCCACTGAATGTGATGGCCATGTCAGAGCAACAGGCCTCCACAACATCACTGGGGTTTTGGGCCACACTGTCAGAAATTAGGGAGCTCACAGACTTTTTGTTGAACAGTTCTTTGCCCTGAGCATCCTCTCCATTTTCAGCAAACACTCCACTGTACTTCAGACACGTGGCAAGCTGCTTCTCCTCGCTCAGCTTCCACAAGGCATTTGATCGCTCTGGGCATTTGCCCTCATCATTGAACATGTCCACAAGTCTTCTCATAGCCTCATAGCTGAGTACAATACCACTTTCATACTCCACATACTCCAGTTCCCCAGACTTCTGCACGTGGCCAATGTAAAAGGGCTCACTGGATTCTTTAACCAGAACCAGATATTTAAGGTTCTCAATGATGGCAAAAGTGGTGGGTCGTGCCACAAAGAACCAGCGGAGTCCCCCTGCATTCTCAAATGCATGCTTGATGGCTTTGCGTAGCCTTGCCCACTCATCCTGTTCCTGCAGGTCTACTGCTTCCAGAGCTTTGGCGGATTCTGAGCTGTAGAAAACAGACTTATCACAGTGTTTGCTCCACGTATCGTTGGCAGCTGCCCAATGAACCAGGATCTTGGGAGTGACCATAATGATGCAATAAACCCTCACCTGCTCGGTGAGTTCAGACATTTGTGTCTCGCTTAGCTTTTGCAGCTCCTCTTTACTATGTGGTTTGAGATGATGGTGGAGGTGTTCTATCTGAGATGGAATTCCAGGTCTAAAAGTCCCAAGAAGAGACAACACCAGGCAAAAGATCCCCCCTAAAACCATGCCCTTCAGGAATGAGCTGCCTTCGGACAACATTTTGCTGGACAACACTGGAGGACAGAAGAGTTTCAATGCAATTACTGAGATGAAAGCACAAGCACGGCAGCACAAAGCAGTACTGTGGACTTAAACGCACTAAAAAGGCCATATGGCATCATACCACTGAAAAATAATCATTTAAAAGCTCAGCTTTCGCGGAAATAATGTTTCAACAAATACAGTTTAAAAAGGGAAGGACATGCAAATACAGGAATCTTACAAAAGTTGCTAGAAAACCACAGCTAAAACTTTCACTACGATGTAAACTGTTTCGTGTTTTTCGTGTCGCTCTCTAATCTCATGGTAAATGTCGCTACATTTAACTCGTATACCAGGAAGTCCACCGTACCAACACAGGCGGAATAGAACTGTCAAATACTGGGATGATAATACACATCGATATATTTCTTTAAAAAAGACGAGATTAGACGTTAGCTAATTAGTTACGAGTTTTATTTTTTTAGGAAGAGGCAAATTAGCGAGGTAGGTTAGCAAACCGAGTTAGCTAACCCAGCTAGCTAAATTAGCGTTAACGTAATCCCGAACGAGAAGATATTTGCGCCTTTGTCACACTAAAGTAAGGTAGTCATAAACGTGGCGTTTAGTCTTAATCTCCATGTTTGAGTTTAAGATTAACATTAGTCCTAAAAAACGTATTCTCTGAAAAAGAATTTGAACAACCTAAGTTTATGTTACCTTTCCACGGTGGAAGACGGTAGGCCAGCTAGCCTGCCAGCTAGACGGTTAAAAGGTTTTCCTGAAATGTCTGCTCTGAGATCAGCTTTCCACTTATTAGTCGTCAGTGATGCTTTAGCGCGAGGTTTTAATAACTTATTATGGATCAGCACTGGAGACCTAACATTAGTGCATCGAATACGGGCAGTACGGCAAGACACAGCGACAAGCTTGATGATTGGACACGGGTGTGTCGTGACGTCGCGAAAAATGGATCATGGGATATGTAGTTTAAAAAAGTGTTAGTCGAAATCTGTGTAATGTCTAGTTTAGCAGTAGATAGCACTTCACGGGTGTGCAGGTCACAATATAATGTACCAGGACCTTTCGCTAATTTTATAACCGGTTTTAATGCTTCAATGAGAGGCCGTACTAATAAAATGGTGAGCGTGTGTAAATGGACTGAATTTATGAACGTGCTTTGCTGCCCTCTACCGGAAGGCAATTTTATCCAAATCTTCACATGTAGAAAATGTGGTTTTGTTCGCATCTAATGTCTGATGTAGAATTAAAGATGACATCAGCTTTGTTGTTGAATAAGAGTTGAATCATGTTTATATATTTATGAGATTACGTAGATGCTGCACTGTTGTATGCCGGGTCTGTAGCAAAGCACGTAAATTACTTATGTGACTTATTACTGATGCATAACCACAAACCTGTACCGCACGGCACGTAGCATGGGCAAACTCCAATTCTGCAGAACTGCGCTGTTAATATATTCCTTGTCCTAACACAACCATCTTAACCCGTTGAAGGTTTGGCAGCAACTGTAAGTTGAATCATGTATCCCAGCAGAGAAACTATTAAACTGTGATCTTCAAATACTGGCAGTGCCCAACCACGATAGAGGCTCAAACGGATTAAATAGATAATGGTTTAAGTTAGAGATTTCCAGCCTTAATTCTCAACTGATCTGAGCTCCAGTAATGAGTACTAATGCTAAAAGTGCAGCAGTGGACAACATCATGGAAAGACCATAAATTAATTTATGGACACATCAGTGATGAAACATGTTTAGGCATATTGGAGAGATATAATGGCATTAAAATGAATGTGAAAAAGATACATATTATTTCAATCACTTTATAATGCCCCTTTTTGTCAGGTGATGCTATTATTTTCTTCACACTCTGTGATATATACACCTTGATTAATGAGACTATTAAATATCAATATTAATTTCAAGCAGATCTATGAATTCAGCTCACCAGAAATTCATAACTGATGCAATACAGAGAAATATCAGAAAATATATGATTGCACAAATCTCATTATGCCTTCCACACGTTTACAGTTGTAATCATTGCAATCATTGGGAATAGGAACATTACAACCACACTTTTACCATATTTTTCATGGACTCTTTAAGACGCTGCAAGGTCAACTCATATTTTTACTGAGAGGCAGCAGATGGTCTGGCAATGTGAGCTTTGCAGTCTTCCAAATAAAATACAAGCATCAAAACACCATCAAACTGTCCAACACGTAAGCTGTCTCAGGAATATGATAAGAAATGGCAGCACAGTAGGCCAGACATATTCCGTCTCAAAACATGACTCAGAGTGTGGGACGAAAAAAGAAACACGTGCACCAAAGCATTAGGTGAAGCAGTAGATAAAGACAGTAGCCTAATGATTGCCATACATTTGCCTGGATAAAACCCACTAATATGCCTAATTCTCGCTCTCTTTGCTTCCTTATTAGCAGTTATCAGATTCCGCTGATGATCTTTATGTAAGAATAATGGACCACCCTTTTCAGGATATGAGGAAATGGAAATCACTGGCATGATAGCCATTTGGACCATGATCTGTGGAGGCCAGGTTACTGAATAACTAACACTCTAGATTCTTTCTTGAGAATATTATACTGAAGTACAGGTCTATGAAATGCAGATGGACCTATTTTAAATAGCTAAATGATGACTTAAATGTACATACTTTGTACTGCATCTCGTAACTGTGCCTGCTACTAAGAGGTGATGCAACAGAATCCATAACAATTTGGCCATGTTAGAGAGAAAGAAGAAAAAAGAAGGAAAGAGGGGATGATAGAGAACGAACAAAAGCCAAGTCTCGACTTAAAACAATTCACAACAGCTCTGCACAGGGTCAATGTTACACCCAATAAGGAAAAACTCAAACTGCAATGCAATTTGAGAGGGGTGGTGGCCCAACGAGATAAACAATTTTCAGGACCAACTGATATAACAAGAAACTGTATAAAGAATACAATTAATAATATACAATCATTCTTGATTCCTTACAATCCTCAGCAAAACAATGCCTTAAAATTCCTTCTAAAAACAAATTCCAGGACAGTATATCTGAAGGACCGGTCACTCGCTGCTGTTTTAAATATAGGTGTTTTATTAAGAGATAAAATGGAAATGCTGGACTGTCTTCCTTTGTTCCTGGATGTCTACTGTACATGACTGGCCCTTTAAGATGAGCCATGGCACTCTAGGCGTGTTTCACTGCTCCCATTCACAATCCAGGTTTGCGCTCTGCGGAGAAAAAAAATCAGCGACCAAATCAGCCTGCAGCCAATTTTTAAAATATTTTTCATCATTTAAAACCTCAAGCAACGGAACCGAATATTTTCTTGCAATGTTTTTGGAGCATGTGCATACCTGAGGACAGAGGGAGTCCGGTGAGATAAAGCTGGTCACTCAAAACGGCATGAATGTCAGTCGGTCAAGGTCCACTCTCCAGCTGTGTTTCACAGAGACTGGGCGCAGTGCTTCTTTATAACCTGGATACATTCAGAGAACAAACCTTTTCCTTTATTTTTCCCTTGTATTTTTAAAGTCCTGCCATGTGCGTGTGGGTGTGTTCTGAAAACTGATATGGGAAATTCTCCTCTGTGGAAAAGGACGGTTCGGTAGAAATCGACGGGAGATGAATCGCTGTTAAGGCATTTAACACCACACGAATAGAAATATACAAGCTAGCATGAGAGGCTAACATTTCACAAGCTCGGGAAGCATCTGCTCAGACGTAGAAAACATAGAAAACCAGCTCAAACATGTGAATTCACGAAGAAATAAGGAAGCTTTGGGGTTTGTGCTCATTTTTTGAAGGAGGAAACGATTCCCTTTTAAGAGTTTCTCCGTCGATATCTGCCTTATTTCTTTGCTCGGTCACTGGTGAATGTTTCCCCCAGTATCTGCCGAGTCTCTGAGGGAGTGAGAACAGCCTGCTGTGGTGTTTTTACCTTCGTCTTCTACAAACACTGCTCTGGCATTAACGTGTCACCATGTCGGCGGTAATGCTTCCCAAAAAGGTGACTCGAAAATGGGAGAAACTCCCGGGTAAGAACACTTTCTGCTGCGACGGACGTGTGATGATGGCCAGGCAGAAAGGAGTATTTTACCTGACGCTGTTTCTCATCATTGGGACCTGCGCTCTGTTCTTCGCCTTCGAGTAAGTCGCAGCTTACAGGCATTTTCTGCATGTTTTCTAGTCCACACGTTGGCGAGCAGAGAAGATATATACATTCGCGCCCTGCGGCCTGCTGTGAAGCTTAAAAAGAGAAGCTCAGCCTTACTGTACGTGCTTTACTGTAAAGTCCACACCAAGGCCTGGGATACTCCTTCTGTTTGTGCTCCAGTAACATAGCCTTGAGCAAGTTTAGAGCTGATTCCTGCATTTATTTATCTCATTTTCAGAAACACAAGCTACCTGCTGCCTTTGGCATATGATCCTAAAACACTGCCAGTATTTTCTTTTTTCCAAGGGCCCCTATAATGGAAAACTGAATCTGCCTGGCTGTTCTGAAATAAGAGTTTGATGTAATAAGTGAACATTATCAAAGACGAAAAACGTACCACTCATTTCCCAGACCATATGTGGACACTGAACTACAAAAACTGCATGTTTTGAATCCATTGTGTTTACATCCGCCTATTTAGCCTACAGCAGATTAGCCCCGCCCAATCACACCCAGGTTCTAAGGAGTGTTTCAGCCCTGATTGCTTTTTGAATGAGAAGCAATACAGCAGAGCCAATCACAACAGAGCTTATTTACACATATCAGTTACAAAAGCAGCCTGTTTCAATCTAAGGGATAAAGAAATAATGGAAAATGGTTGTGTAAAAAATGAATTATTACTTTTTTTGTAAAACCACACATACATTATGAGTGGACTTTTAAGGTCTTCAGAGCATGTGGAAGTGTCAGATGCTTTAGATGACCTCTGTCTGCTCTGTTCTGTCTTTTTGTGCATTGAGTGTTCACTGCTATTATCACCGTATGTCTATACACTGGATGTATTTGCTTATTTCATGATGCTCTTGACACATTGCTCCATCCACAGGACCTATGTGGATATGAAAGTGGTGGCCCAGTGCCATTTTTAAGGTTACCACTGTTGCCCTGGCTGTGTCAATCTGTCACTAGGGAGAAAGGCCTTTAGGGGAAAGAAATGTTCTACAGACAGCTTAAGAAGAAGCTAAAATAATACTGAAACATGAACAATAAGCCTTGTCACTGTCTGTTGGCTTCCACTGGGCCTGTTCCACACAGGAAATAGTTGCGTGCCCCTAGCCAGCGATGAGACTGATACAGCTTAGAGTCATGCTCCAGGTTGGAACTGGCTCAGTGACTATCTGCTAATGGCTAGGGGGTTGTTTACTGTATGCATCTGTGATATTGGAGTTGCTGTTAATTACGCCTCATGGGGAGAGATAGAAATGGAACTACTGAGCAGAAGTGTAACACAAAACTGTCCATTATGGCACAATTTAAGTCATTTGAGCTCTGACAGCTAATGATATTGTCCATGTTAAACAGACATAAGAGGATTTAGTATTTTTTAAATAAAAAATTTAAATTTAAATAAATGTTAAGATCATTTGAAACCTGTGAAGAGCCTGAGAATAACTAATAGATTAAAGAGAATCCCATCATTATGTTTTTTAATCTGTTGTGTGTGATTGAGTTGTTTTCCATGATGACTATCAGCATTAGTTGTTCGGGTTAATGGCCAGCTGAATGTATGCTGCATATAGCTTCATACTTTTTGTCAGTTTGATGATGGATTCAGTATCAGTAGTTGCTTTTGACTTGCAGTGCATCTTAGACTTTAGTATCCTCAAATGTTAGCTGATCATCCAGCCTGGGTTCTACTTTACAAGTCATGTTAAATTGGAGGGTTTTCTAAATTGAGTTCACCTCGATTATCCTTTAGCTCACTGTTGTCCAGCGTTTTATCTGCTCTGTGGCTTTGAGTTGACTCAGAGGGAGAGCTTGCAGAAAAGAGAAACAGTGTCCTTGTGTGCTGGGTAGATGAAGTCCAAGAACAGCTGGATGGACATCACTGCCCATCAGCAAGGCTAGAGAGAGGAACACCTACTCAGAAGTCTATCAGAAAAAAAACCTTTATTCCCAGGAGTGAAGCATATACTGGGAAACAAACAAAACATTTCCTGCTGCTTTAATCTGTTGACCTTGGCCCTAATCTTAATGTGTTTTAGTCTTTATCACTGTCTTGTTTTTAACCCCTTTTCACAGTAGCCATAAAATGCGCTTTCCACCTCTTTTGGAGGCCCCTCAGTTGATGTATGCATTATATTGCTGGGCATTTTTGATCTATAATTTGTTATTTGCATTCATGGTATATATCTAGATGGAAATATGTATGATTTACAAAACCAAAAGCGAACCGGATTTCCGTCTTTGTAGCAAGCAAGTTAATGTTTATAAAGTGTATTTTATTATGTTTAAGTGCAAATTTTTTTAATTGTGGCAGTTGTACATGATTTTTTTGATAAGAAAAACTTCAGTTGCATTGTCTGTTTTATCTCAGCATGGCCGTCTTTATGGAGAGTGTTGAACTGGTTTCACAGCATGGAGTTCTCTCCCCTCCACCTTCACTTCTCATTGCTCACTAGCAGCTGAACAACATTTCACACACATAGAGCCTACATTGTCCTATATAGCAGAGTCACAGGGGGAGAAATATTTTATTTTATTATATTGATTAAAAATATCTGAGTTGATTTCCATGGCCACTGCAGAAAGAGTTAAGAAGTGATGATCATTCTTTCAGTATTGACTTTTAAAACCCTTTAATTCAAAGGGAACTGCTAGATGTTGCCTCTACTGAGAGTGGATGCGCCTGTCTCTGTCTGTTCCTGAGCCCGGCTGGGTTGTTTCCTCTCAGACTGGGTTACCTACCTGTGATGTTCCATAGCAAAGCAGCCCAATGGGACACAAGAGTAAAGTGCTCTCTCTCTCTCTCTCTCTCTCTCTTTTTCTCTCTTTTTCTCTCTCTCTCTCCCTCTGTTTCTTCTCTCTCATGGAAAATACATACTCATCAGCCTCTCATCAGCGAAGACGTTCTCTCATGTTTTGTCCTGCAGTATTTCCAGCATCCATCTGAATGACATTATGAAAGTACCATTACCCGACATTGCCCAACATGTGTCTTTGTGTATCGTTTTGCTGCTCTGGCAGATTTAGATCACTGGAGTGGATGTCGGCCAGACACTGTGCCCTGACTGTCTCCTGAACACACTGAGCTGTGTGCTAAAGGGGGCAGAGGGAAGGCATTGTATTGACCTTGCTGTGACCAGGGCCAGAGGATTTTAACAATGTCTCAGAAATAAGGGGCCTAGAGGCACACATCTGTCTCGCTTTTTCTGTTTGAAGGGCAGTGAAACTGGGGCCTCTGTCATTAGGCAAGACATGCCTCATAGCCATAGACTTGTCTTTTCTGTCCATTTAGTGCCGTTACAACTGCCACAGTGCAGTGACTAGGGTGTGTCAGTGATTTTCAGTTCTTTAGAGGTGAAAGATTATCCCTTCATACTAGAGCCTTTGGACTTGGCTTTCGTCTCTCTATTATTTCAAAGATGGATTTATTTTCAGGCAGCACTTCCGTGTAACTCATTTATCAGTAGGCTAAATACTTCCTTCTCCACCCTGCAGTAATGTGTTTTAGGGCAAATGCACTGAATTGATTTTTACAGAAAAGCACCTTTCTTTGACTGTCTCTCTCTGGATTTTAAGATTTTAATAATTATTTATTATTTACATTTCAATTGATGAACCACATAATCTGAATAAAATGTGATAAATTATTAACGGCGCTCATTTCCTTTATGCTTTTGACGTATTTTCCTAGTATGACCCTTTGAACTAGCCATGGTTCCAGCCTGTAGCCCAGCTGCTTATGTGCTGTTTTTATGATTCTGCAACTGTAGCCCTCTTGTATGGACCTTGGTAAGAGGTTCCATTGATGGTTTTCTTGATAAAGCCAGTTATTTTCAGCTACTGTTAGGAGGAATTTCTCACTGAAGGACACCGCTGATACTGGCAATATCAGTTATATCAGTAACAATAGCACTGAATAACATCTTCATGTTGCTACGCTGGACAGTGCTTGAAGGAGGCTTATGAATAGGCAACAAACTAACCAAGCAACACTGCAGTAGTAATCACCAGTTCACCTCAAAACAAAACATCACGTAATGGTATGGAAGCAAGAGGGGTACAGCCATGCAGCTACTGTTACTCTCGCTGCTGATGAAAGTTGGAAACTGTATTTTCATGTACAGGTTCACCTGCGTTCACATGATGAAAATAACATTATTAAGTTATCGAAAGTAATAAATGCGTTCTTATGAAGCTTATTTTGTCCAAAATACACTGCTTTTTCTTAAACTCTTTCTTTAGGGTCAAATTTGGGCAAATAAGACAGATGTGATTTAATTGCAGTTATCTACACAACATATTATGATTGATTGTAATTACCTTGTTTATAAATCCAAACATAAGTGATCACTGGGTCTTTCGAAACCCTTTGAAATGTCAGGTGTAAAAGGCTGTATATCCTACTGTCCACTAGCAATCAGATCACTTAAGTTAGGTATTAATGCCAAGTCTGAACAGGGCCCTACTCTCAGAAACCACACAATGATACATACGTTTTTTCTGACATCAGTGAATAGTTTGCGGTCCATGCTGTGGCCATAGTAGGAGCTGCCAGTTGCCTGAGGATCTGCTGGGGATTAAAGTTTCAAACTGCCAGCATGAAGCGCTTCTGAGTCTTGACCCACAGAACCTCCAGCAAGATGGCCGTCTCAGAGGCTGCTGTGATTTGGTCTAATGTGGCAGAAGGCTTCCCAAATACCAGGTTTTCTAAGGGCTCTCATGTTTGATTGTTGTTTCAACACAGCTGAGTCCTTGGTAGAGTTTTCTTTTGTAAGGGGATGTGAATTCTGCTGCCTGGCTCTGCTGTGGGTTTGCAGCAGTACATAATTAATTTGCTCTGTGCATCACTCAGTTCTTAAATAGCTAAACTCTTTATTAAGAATTAACCAAGGCAGGGCATGAAATTCTCAGTGCAATGGCAGTGTAAAGGCATAACAGCATGACATCTTCTCTTTCTTAAAGACACTATGCAGTTTAAACAGAAAGG